ATATATATATATATATATATATACCCTTTTTCTTGATCAATAGTCTTATTCTTTAAGAAGCAAAATTATTTTCCCAAAGTTCCTAGGTACTGGCCCAGTAGGAGTCCATTAGTCTTAGAAGAATTATTTGTTTCAACTCCCAGACAACTTGGTCTCTTCCTAAAGGAGAGAGGCTCAGGATAGCAATGCAAATAATTATCTTTCCAGTAGGTGGAATGAAATGGTTCTGCTTTGAGAATGTGTCCCATCAGTCAACCCATTTGTTGGCAATTTGCTGGTTTCTTATTTCTCAACCTATTCCTAATACTAAAGTTAAGGGTTTAAATGGGAGCTATCTCTTTTTGGGAGGATGGAGTACAATGGGATTTTTACTAGAATAAAATGTACAATTATTAAATCAGAATAATTAGCATGTCCCACCATTGCCATCCTAACTATTGTCCCATTCTCCAGCCATAGAGGTCAAAGGTAGGTAGAGAGAACTGTCTGGCTGAGTCAGAAGACTATTTTATCCCACGGTTATGTCACTTCTTAACCAAAGGTTATGAGTAAGAAATGGTTTATTATAAAAAAAAAAAAAAGAAAAGAAACACCTAACTCAGAACTGAAAATCCTGGGTGTTAATCTCATAATGATCATTAATTGACTGGGGAATCCCAGGCAAGCCTTCTTCACTCTGAGCCTTGTTAGAGAACAAAAATGACCAGGCTGAAGGAGTTGCTTTCTGTCTGTTTTTAGAGGTTTTTGTCATTGGGCGCCTATGCTTGCCAGAGAGAGAGAGAGAGAGAGAGAGAGAGAGAGAGAGGGAGGAAGTGATAAATCACCCCCTGGGGGAGATGGCCATGCCACAATCCCTTCTCCTCCATTCTCCTCCTGGGATCTTGGTCAGGTACACACACACATGTGCCCAATGTGATTTTCAAGTCACAGGGTCAGGGACTCAAACTGGGGTTGGCCATGTGGAAGTCCAGCAACATAACTGCTATGCCATATACTGGCCAAGGAGTTGCTTTTGAAGTGATATCTGACTTTTACTTTCTCTGATTCTGTAAGATTATAAGTTGTAGATATGCACTAACTAGAGAAGGCTGTGGTAGTGAGCCAGGTTCTTTCTGCCTTTTCTGCCTCTTTTACCTTGGTACTCATAGAGGCATGTCTTACTTAAGCATAAATGTATTAACATCTACTCTGTCTATAGATTAAGAGAGAGCTCTTAACACTTCCCACTCTTGTGCTCATTGGAGGGAAATTGGGGACTCTGTGTTCAATTTAGAAAAAAAGTCACACTATCCAGAACATTTTTTTTTTTTATTTCTGGGAACAGAAAGTACTTTACAAACATTTAAATCACAGCATCCTTGTTATGCAAAGAAGTGGGTAATCATGTAAGTTTTAATTAAGTTATTCAGTGAGATCAGGTCAGTAAAAGAAAGTATATTTTTTAATGAGTTCTCTGCAGAAGACCACATTCCTCTTTCCAAACGAGACAGTGGTATAAGAGAGCCTTGGTTTAGTTCTAGAGTACTTTGATCAGTGATTAGTGTTATTGTCTTTTGTAAGCTTAGAACTAACTCATGATTGTAATCAGGAAAACCAAGGCATGGGCAAGGAGAGCTAAAGATGCCTTATGTCTTGTCTGTCTTTCATGACAAGCATAAGTCAACACTTACCTTTCAAATAACTTGTGTCCTCAGATGCCTCCAGAAAACTGGCCTAACTTTCCTCAGTCATCTGTATTAGTGTCTCATCCTTAACCATCAGGAATTCTTCCTTAAGTCTAATCAAGTTTGTCATGCTATCACTATTAGTCATTTCTATTTTATGTGTTTAAGCCTGGGGTCTTAAAACTGATTAGGCCATTTGGGTTTTCCTTTCTGTTAATTGCCTCACCCAAAAACTGTCTTTAAATCTTGGCATATATAGTAAATGATAGCACATTATATAAAATGGTAATATTTGTGTAACATATTAGAGCATAAGGATTAGTCAGCCTAAAGTGACCAGTCCCAGGGTTTTCTACCTGTTCTATACATGTCCATATCACCTGGACACTCTAAGCCTTGATCCCATCCTTTGCCCATTTTTCTGTAGTTTGTCATATTTTTCTTGCTGATTTATAGGAATTTCTTCTATATTCTAGATATTAATCCTTTGG